ATATAATATTATATATAATTCAAACTACATAATAAAACAATATAATACAAACAATAACCTACAAACTAAAATCTATTACAAACTAAAAGTTAGTACAAACTAAGCTACCTAAACTACATAATACACACAATATAATATGAACAATAACCTAAAAAATTAAGTATTAGAATTGTTAAACAAAAAACCTTGCCCATTGTTCTCTAATTTGTGTGATATCATATTCTGACAATGGAGATGAATCTTGAAATACTTGAAACATTAATTTGACTCTTGTAAACATGCAACACACATAAAGTTAAATAAACTTAACTAATGTTAAAAGCAATTACCTCCGTCCAAGAATCAGTTATACCCGCACAAACTATGGCTCTCATCCAATACATAACATAGTAACCACATTCAAATGAGTCTGTTTACTTATTACACTGAAATGATGAATAAAATATAATGTTATTTTCAAAATTTCAATACAAACAATAATTATGGTATTCACTTATTATATAAGTTTCTAACCTTAGGATAAATAAACTGCAAAGTCTTTGTTCTGAGTTTTCCACTTAGAACATTAGTTATACACATGATTCTAAATGGAAAAAAGTCATATATTATTCAATACCTTTTCCATTTTCATTAGCAAATTTCAAAAATTCATCAACTCCCTTTTTGTACTCTTCACTAATACGACGGACATTCATCCAACTTCGATTCATATTATGTTATAAAGTTTCGTCACTCCTAGAGATTCAAAATTTATATTTAAAAATAAATTAATATACAAACAACAAAGCACGTAAATGGAGTGTGTAAACCGAAAATACACTCAAACAAAATAATGACATTCCAATAACAATCCCGTGGAGACATTCATACAATGACGTGATTGAGATCCCCAAAAACAATCACAGATTCAATTTGAACATATATCAGGAGACATATAATACTAATCTCGAGTAAACACGAAAACAATTTCAAACTCGAATCCAATTGGGGAGAAATGTCAAATTCGTAAAATGAGACACAATGTTGATGTTCTTCACTGCCAAAATGATCAAAAATGGTGTGGAAAGGTAGTTGTCATCGTCGTTCTCATCGTCATTCTCAAAAACCCTTGCGGCGCGAGATGCGGGAGTGGGTCTGGAAGAGAATAAAAGGCACTTTTTACGTCACACACCCTAGTACGTGACGCAAAAGATGGCTTTTTACGTCGCGCACCCCCACGTGGCATAAAAAGTATCACTTTTTTACGTCGCACACCCCCCACGTGACGTAAAAAGTCCTCTTTTACGTCGTGTTGTACCAGGTGCGACGTAAAAGAGGTTTTTTACGTCACCTCCTACAATATGCAACGTAAAAGTTTCACCTTTTATTTACAAAATTACCACCACATTTTATTTACGTCAAATATTTTGACATGCGACGACAATTAGGTGACGTAAAATGTTATTTTTGCACTAGTGCTACTCTTTAAATGCACACTGTTATTGAATCATTATACCTTGTTGAATTTCGTAATTGATGACTTTAAGTTTTTCATATGCAAGTTAGCATCGTTATCCTATTATCTTCAATGTTGTACATGATAGTTAGACACATGATTAGTCTAGCATTCCTTATAATGATAAAATAAAACTTTAGGTATTAGAACTACATAATGATGAAATCTTCTAAAAGATTGAACGATACAATTTAGTGTAATAATTATTTTTCTTTATATATTATGTTTTTGTTATATAAGATAATTTTCCAGATTTCTAAATGGGAAAATAATTCACTTATAATTGCTTCCAGATGCTGATGTTCTCATAATTATGGTCACTAATGAAGCTCAAGCAAACAATGTTTTGTATGGAGAAAATGGCGCAGTTTTAGTGACATGTTTTTTTAATTCATTATATTTTTATGTGTAAAAACTCAAATTATTTCAAAAAGAAAATAAAAAATGTCTTATTTTTTTATAGTGAATTATATAACAAAATTCATAAAAAAAATGTGAATTTTTACCTATTTTACTTATTATTCAAAATTGTTAATGTCTAAATTCTTTTAGATGTAATTATCAAACACGCTTTGATTATATTTATATAAAGTTTTTATTTTTCTTTTTATTACTATTTTATTTATATTTATTGATTATTGTGATTTGATTGACCATAAATTAATTATATTTATAAGACATTGAAAATTTCTTATAAAATTCTTCATTTAAAATAAAATGATTAATAACAAGTGATTTTCATTTAATAAAATATGTTTTAAGTGATTAAAGTATAATTATTTATAAATAATTGATGTCCATGAAAAGTAGAAATTTTTTTATTTATCAACCATAATAAATCAAGAAAGTAAGATGGTGAAATCTAACTTCAATAATATCATTTATCAATGTATATTTAATATAGATTTCTTTAATTTAAAAATTGTCAATGTGTATTTCTAAATTTCTTTAGTTTAATATTATGTTAGTTTGGTTTAAATATTACTCTTAAAAATAAATTACTAAATCATATTTTTTAATTTAAATTTAATAACATAAAATTAGTATTTTTTAATATTATCTATCCATGAAATCGATTTTCTTATTATTTTAAAATACTAGTGAAAATAAACAAGTGTAAATACAGTTACTTTGGCGGTATCACTTTACTGTACAAAACTTAAAACAATGGAAAATGATTTTTTGACATTCAGTTTTTTTTTAATATTTTATAAATAATTTTAAAATATTATTTTTATTGATTAATGGAGAAAGAATAAAGTAAGATTGATAAATAATAGTATAAAATTCTAAAAATAAATTGTTAAATAAATATTTGGAAAAAAAATTATTATGAAAATATCGCAACCCTAAAATAATTGTTGAGCAAGAAGGATTGGTGAAGTTGGTAAATGAATGAATTATTATTGAGTCATCTCACGTTTGAATGAAAATATGATGTTGTTAACCAAATATCTAATGTACATTCCTCTTTACCGTTTAATAAAATAATAATAATAATTATCATTAATAATTATTAAAATTTAAATTTTATTATTATTATAGTATTAAATTTAGTTATAGATTAAATGTTTGATAAAATGCAATTGTCAGAATACTTTTTTTTTCTAAGTTTAAGCATGGAGGTCCCTTCAAAGTGATCCAAACATTTAATATTATATTTATATTTAACTTTTTAATTATCTTAAAAATATTAATAAGATAGAAAATATCATTCTTAATGAATCTTAATTATTTATTATTTATTTTTAATATGTTTTTATACCTGTTAGATCTTAATATTTATATTAGATATTTTTAAAATATAAAGTTATGATTCAATAAAATAAAGATTATATATATATATATATATATATATATATATTCTATTAAAATAAAAATTAAATATTTTATTATTTTTATATAATCATACTTAAATGTTATCTCATAAAAAAATTTGATTTTTTTTAATTAGAGACCATGTTTTATCATATTTATTTCATTTTTTTTCAAATTATTTATCGTTAACTTCCTCAATTTAGGTAAGAACATATTTTTGTTGAAATAAAAACTAAGAAAAGATTTTTAAATTTTTTATATAATCATACTTAAATATTATCTTATAAAAAGATTTGATATTTTATTTAATTAGGGACATGTTCGATCTCATTTATTTCACAGTTTTCCCCAATTATTTTTATTTCTAGTTAACTTTCTCGTAAAAGAACATATTTTTGTTGAAATAAAAACTAACAAAAGAGATTTGATATATACCCCTCTTATCATAAAAGAAATCCAGCAGTTTATCAAGAGAAAAAATGGGTAGAAAATGAAAAGCCCAGGCAACAACCAACCAAAATGCAATTGGCATCAACCCGTTTTATTTGAAATAATTTAAAAAAAAATTCTATAAATTATATATAGTATTTTTGAATTACAGTAAGATAATTTTGAGATTACATTTTTTTTAATTTTGTATTCCACATTATGCAAGTCAGATCATCCATAAATAAAACATTTCTTTCTTTTCACCATGAGAAAAATATCATTCGACCACATATATTTCTTGATCGTTTTGGGATTATGTTTTTAATGCCATTTTTTTAAACCATCAAATTGATTATTTTTTCTTACAATTAAATGAAAGTGAAAAACTTATATTATTTGTCATTTTCTTCACAACAATAAATTTTCTTTCTAAATAAAAAGTTTTACATTCTCGATTTTCCAATAAAAAAATAACCATATTCTAAAAATTATCAAATATTCATCTAATTTTGACACATAAAAATATCGTAAATTACTTTTCTCTTTTCTCTTTCCTTTTTTTTTTTTTTAACTCCAATACTACATTTTTCTTCTACATCAACATAATCTCAATTGCCTGATTTAACTTCAAACAAATGAAACATTCATATTAACGAAAACCTTCTTTATTTCTAATTATATGATTACTACATCGGCTTGTCCAAATACCACACTTTGTTACACTCTCTTGAGTTGTCTTTTAACAAGAAAAAACAATTATCCTTCACAACTTCTGCGGGTAATTGTTGGATGGTTGTTTGTGGGGTCATCTCACTCTCTCCTTTTTTTTTTTTTTTTACAAGATCTAATGATACCACTCGTATTATTTTAGAGACGTTGATATAACTTATGCATAATAATTTTGAACAAGGAAACAAATAATTTGGAGATTGAATTGCTTTCGATTTTGATTATTTATTTACATTTTCTATTAAATTCAAAGATATCTATACAATGAAAAGAAGGGAATGGTAATGATTTATACTAGTGATAGAAAGTGAAAGGCAAAGGGAAATGGCAAGTATATTAATGAAATGTTTAGCATAAATTTATCATAATTAATTTATTCGAAGCGAATTCCAGTATATACACTTAGATGAAACGTGCTTTATTGATTCAGCTAGTATGCATAATAGGTATGGAACAAATGGGTTATTCCATTCCATGAAGAAAGAGAGTGCATATAGATAACTTAGCACGTAGGCCAGTAGGCAATATTCTAATAAATTGCTTTTCCAGAGGGCAAAACCACCATTTTCTTAGCTTGATCCTTGATTTTTTGGGTGAATTGAGTTTGATTATCAAGGGATCTGTCCCATATCACAATTCCTCCATAGTTGGAAGAATTCATGATGTAGGGAAGTATATCAGAAGTAACAACTTGTGGTGCTACATAACCACCGAGAGGAGCTACGGCCGGTGCTGCTGGTAATCCCAAGAATACCAAGCTATTAGATGGAACAAAACTGGTCCACGCATTCCATGAAGATAAAAGGAAAGTAGTAATGCCACCAGATGTATATTGGCATGAAGGGCTATTGTAGAACTTAACAAATATGTAATCGAAATACCCTTTTTTGATAGCTTGGTTAAGGTGGTAATCTGGGATAAAACATCGTGGGGCTGCAGACAAGTAAAAGTTCTGGTTTTGGTCTTTGAAAGACTGTAGTTCCTTGGCAAGGCAATCCCAATAAAGGTTTGAGCCTTTTTGAATGTCAAAATCAATGCCATCCAAGGTTACTTTTCCTAGTGGACCAGATTCACCGCTGAGGAAGTTACCATAGAGGTAGTTGGCAACCACTACTGCATCCGAGGATGAGCAGAGGGAGTAATCCCCTGAAGGTCCTCCAAGTGAAAGGAACACTTTCACACCTTTCTCCTGGCAGTGCTTTATTTCGGGGGCTAGTTCTTCACAAGTGCTCCAGTCATTACCACAATGGCAATCGAAGTTCCCTGATGGGGTTCTGCGACAACCGAACTTGTTCAAGAAGGATAGGAGGACAATGTCGTAGTTTCCAGTGTCACATGTGGCAGTCAAGGTTCCTTCATCTTTGTTTTGGCCCCAGTAGATGGCAATTTTCCCACCAGTAACCTCCTGTGGAGATTTTTTGGCCCAAGAGAATGTCAAGAGGGACAAGAGAACCAGGGATAGTGCTTGCCTTTTGAAACCCATGATTATGGTGTATCCTATCTTGAGTTTTATTTCCTTTGCCAATACAACCTATATTTATATTTATATTGGATGATGATATTTTCACAGCTCAATTTTTATATATAATTACTTGAAAAGTTCCCTACAACAGTAAAATTATTATATTATTATAAAATAATTGTATATATAAAACGTGCATCGTTCAATAAGTTAATTATAAAAACACTGAAATCAATATTAATTACACAATTCAATTAAGTGAAGTGAACAGTTATGATGTGTTTAAAGCTAAGTTTCGTGTTTTAAATGAAATAGATAAATATGGTATGTGATTTTTTTCTTCTTCTCATATTCAGTCTATAAGAATTCGTTAATAAACATACTGGTGTGAGTTTATATAATAATTTAAAAAATGAAAAAAATTATTAATTGAAAATAAATTTATTTATTTTTCTCATATTTGTTAAGATAAAACTTATTAAATCTATTGGGTTAAAATCTTTAAAACTAAAATCTATTAGACTAAATATGTGAAGTCCGTGAATTTAACATATCGGACCTGTGATTTGACTATAATTATGCTAGGAGCACTAACCACTCTCTTTTTTTTCATATAATTAATTTACAACTCGTTTTTTTTATTAATATTATACTAAAAATAGGTTGTTGAAAGAATACCATCATCGAGTAAAACAAGAAAACCGCATCATATACCAATTAAATGAAGCATTTGGGAAGGCAAGCGGTGACCCTTATGGATGGGATCGATACAAAAACTGCTAACTTCTGCAACTTATGGCAGCAGTTTTGAGTTTTTGTTTTTACGCCTGTGCCATGCATGAACGCTTGCATGGAGAGCAAAACAAAGAAAACCGCAACATATCCCAATCAAATGAAGGCAAGGAATGACCATTATCAATGGGGTACAAAGCTAGCTAGCAGTTCATTTGCGCAACGTGCATGCAACGTACGACAGCGCATGCAGTTATGTGTTTTATGATTACACGTCGAAAAAAGAAAATGCAGTGTAGCTGTGCATGGTATAAAAGATTAAGTCTCGTCTCTTGCATGAAGAAATGTCGTTTAATGAACTACAAGGATAATAAATATGTACAGAACACTTTTTTTCAGAATTATAATCATTATTACAAATTATTGGTGTTCTGAATTTCTGTTTTTCAAATTTGATTTATTATTTGTAACAAACACAAGAAAACATATCCCAATTAGATGAAGGTAAGGAATGAGCCTTATCAATGAGGTACAGAGCTAGACAGCAGTGAATTTGTAGAACGTGCATGTAACTTTACGACAGCACATGTGGTTGCATGTTTTACGATCTACACGTGGAAGGAAATGCGGTGTAGGTGTGTGCACGGCATGGAAAATTAAGTGTCCTGTATTGAATGGAGAAATGTCGCTTGATGAGGCTACGAGGATTACAAATAGGTTGGAGGGAAACATTGAATTGCATGAAACTAAGCAATTAAAGGTGTAAGGTGAAGAAAAATATAGAGAGAATGGGTAGTTGGGAGAGAGTATCACTGAGCGTGGTAGTGACTGTGTTGTCCCTCTTGACATCGTCGTTGGCGAAAAAGGAGAAACCAGGCATTGCGGTGTACTGGGGGCAGAACCCTGGAGATGGGAGCTTGCAGGATACATGTAACTCTGGCAACTATAAGATTGTCCTTATGAGTTACCTCAAGGAATTCGGTTGTAAGAGAGACCCAGCATTGGATTTTGATGGGCACTGTGGTGTGGGAATCAGGTCTTGTACAAGACTACGTTACGAAATTCAGAGCTGCCAGAGAAAAGGTGTGAAAGTGCTCCTTGCGCTCGGTGGACCAACGCAATCCTACTCCCTTTGCTCATCCGACGATGCACAAGTAATTGCCAATTATCTCTACGGTAACTTCCTGAGTGGTCAAGAAGGCCCACTTGGAGAGGTTACCTTGGACGGCATTCATTTTGATATTCAAATCGGTTCAGACTCGTATTGGGATGACCTTGTGAATGAACTCCAAAGCATCAGGCACGACAACAAAAACAAATTTTACTTGTCCGCAGCCCCTAAATGTTTTCTCCCAGATTTGTACCTTGACAAGGCCATCAAAACCGGCTATTTCGATTACATCTTTGTTGAATTCTACGGAATAAAGACCTGCCAATATTCTGGTGGGGAAGCTCCAGAACTTCTCAAGTACTGGATGGCTTGGACGGGGTATGTTGAAGACTATGATACCTCCCTATTCTTGGGACTTCCAGCAGCAGATGAGGAAGGTTATGTCCCACCTCAGAATCTTATCGACGACGTCCTTCCCTACATAATCCAAACTCCCTCCTATGGAGGAATTGTGCTACGCGATAGAGCATATGATCTCATAACTAAATACAGCAAAACAGTGAAGCCTTTTATTGCCCAACCATCAAAGCAATGGCCCGTTTCTCTGCGATCACCTTTTTCAGTACCAATTTAATCGATCATATCCAATCCATGCACGGTGATGGTGGCATCTAGGATCAGACTATGTAAGCACGCATGTGTAATTTTATCTATACACATGCATGAATATGTAGCTAATAAACCACTTTTAATTCCATTCCGTGCACCTCCTTCTATAATGGATTGGCTCTATTAATATCATTCTCCCTAGCTATATTCTTCTGCAAAAGCACTAAAGTAATGTATTTTATTTTTAAAAATATGTAAATGAGTAAGTCTTATTTAAACATTTGACTTCTCAGTTTTTCCCTTAAATTATAATATTAAACGCATGACTTCTTAAAAAAGCAAGTATAAACCCTATTTTTTACTTATCCGTTCATATAATTTTTTTTAATAAAAATTTAAAAAGAAAATTACGCCACTTTGTAGTTTTGCCAATATTCTTATCAATATACTTGTTTATTTGCTTAGGTTAAATAGAACACTTATATATATGTACAACTTTTTTCTTCTCTTTATAATCTATAACTCAATTTAATAATATAATAATAATAAATATAAAAAATGAAAAATTAATAATAATAATAATAATAATAATAATAATAATAATAAAATGATTTTTTGAATGAATGGTATCAAAGAGCAGATTTAGTTTGAGATTTGTTTCCGGGCTAACGCCGACCAAAATCTTTTAGAAAAAATTAAGACATAAATCCTATTAACATAGACAATAATAATTTTTAATTTAATATAATTTAATGAATTTTAATTTTAAAAAATTAATGATCGCAACTGTTATTAATAATAATAAATTAATGTGAAAAGAATCCGATTTATAACATAACTAACGATATCATTGATTTTTTTTCTTATTATCTTAGGTTTTTCATGGAACTATTCTCGATATTCATTTCGACAACTTTTTTTTTCTATATTAATTTTAATAATATTTTTTTACTATGCAAAATATAGTAAAGATCATACTTTTTTATGATAATTATTAAATAATCATTGTAAGAGTGACTTGATAATATTTCTAACAACGATTGTTCTATATTTATTATATATGACATGCAACAATAGATATATAATAATTGTTATAGAAGGTGAGATAGTCGATATTTAATTATTATTGTATTTTCTATACTATGATAGTTATATTTAGAAAATCGTCGATTTATATCCAATTTAACTCTTCGTTCATTTTTCATTTTTGTTGTATTCTTCTTTTTCCTCTCTTTCTATATATCATTTCTCTAACCTAAATTGTTTGTTTTTTCTCCTCTCTCACACACACCAATCTTATCTCTTTCTCTCTGATAATTTTGGTACGCTTGTCAATAATTTAATAAGTATTTCTGGCGTCATTGCCGGGGAACGGTGTTCTTTGAGAATTTTTTGTTTAGCTTATTGAGTATTTTATTTTTATTTCTGTTTTTGTTTTATTTTTCAGTTTTAGTTTTACTTAATTATTGTCTTGTGCTAATATTTGCTTGAGTTACTCTTTTGATTTATGCGTTTAAGAGGACATGTATCTTCAGAGCAGTTAGAATTTAATCCAGAGATTGAAAAAACAGCTCGGAGGAACCGGGGTAGAAGAAGAAGGGAAACTCAATAATAAGTCACAAGAGAATATGTTAATTCTTCTTTCACACTTGATTTACAAGACCCAATTATAGAAGATATGACGGAAGAAGGAGCAAATCTGAATCCGAATCCAGATCCAAATATAAATCCAAATCAAAACTCAAATTCAAATCCACCTAGAAGAACTCTTAAAAACTATGCTATGCAGCAAAGTCCAAGACATTTTTCCAACATTGTCATACCAGATGATCAAACATTGCAGATGAATCCAACTTTCTTAAGCTTGATTAGTGCTCATCAATTCACTGGATTGGATCATGAAGACCCTTACATTCATTTGTCTACTTTTTATGAGTTGATTGGTACCATGGATTTAGAGCAGCAAATCTTAAATCTGCATATTTGAGATTATTTCCATTTTCTTTGGCAGGTAGGGCAAAGGAGTGGCTAAAAGCACATCTTAATCAGAGTTTGACTAATTGGAGTAGTGTAGAAGAGAGGTTTTTGAACAGATTTTTCCCACCATCCCGCTACATCAAAGCAAACACTACAAGAAAAACATCAAATAGTGACCGAAATTAGTGACTGAAAAATTCAGTCACTGATAGTAACTGAATCAGTGACTGATTTCCCTTTTTATATTTAGTGACTGATTTAGTGACTGATTTAGTGACTAAAATTTCAGTCACAGATATCGGTCATCGATTCGATCCATCGAATCGGTCATCGATTCAGATCACTACTAGAAAAATGATTAATAGTGACCGAAAGTGGTGACTGAATTTTTTTTATATTTAGTAACTGATTTAGTGACTAAATTTTCAGATCACTAAAAAAATAATTTTTAAATTGATAACTATTTTTCATTTATATAAATATTTTATTTAAAATATTTTAAATATAAATCTACTTAATAATTTAAAATAAGTGATAACATTGTTAATAACATTATAAAAATTTTAAAAAAATAGTTTACTAACTTATTAAATAATTTAGTAATATAATTATTTAATTTTATTTTTTAATTTAGCATGTGAATAAAAAAATTAAAATTGATTATTAAATTAGTCACCGAATCGGTCATCGATTCGGTCACTGATTCTAGTCATCGAATCTAGTCATCGATTCGGTCACTGAATCGGTCACTAAATCAATAATTAAATTAATTATTAATTTAGTCTCTTTTATATATATATATATACATATATATATATACATATATATATATATATATATTACTTGTATGTTAATAAAAATGTATTTCAATGTATTTATAAAAAATTAAAATTATTTTAATTACTGAATTGATATTTTAAATTTATATTAATATCTTGGATAATTTAATAGTTGGATATATATTTTAAGTTTATATTAGTCATTTTTATATAAAAGTGTAAAAATAAAGTGAACTTATTTTAAAATTTAATTAAACATAATAATATAATATAGTATTAACCATAAATATGTGAAGATTTAGTTAGAAATTAATTTTAAGTTTTATTGTTTTTATTTAAAAAAATCGTTAAAAAAATTTAAAATAATTAATTAAAGTAAAGAATTTTAATTTAATAAATGTGTTAATATTATTAGAAGAATTAAATTTATATTAATAATTATATAAAATTATAGATATATTAAAATTTAAATTATTGGTAATTTTTTTAATTATTAAGCTAAAATTTGATAATATTAATAAATTAAAAATAAAATATATATATATATATATATATATATATCACTTTAATTTTTTTAATTAAAATTAATTTCATAAAAAAATTAATATTTGAAAATTAAAATGCAAAAGTATATATATTTATCTTTTATTTAATTATACTTTTACACCTAAAAAAAGAAAAAAATAATAAAATTTTCTTTTATTAATCATTTTTATAAAATAAAAAAATATATAAGAATTACTTTTATAAAAAAAAAATTTAACGTTCTTGATTCTTTAACTGATTTGTTTTAACCGATACTGACAACGTTTATATCAATTAAAAACACTTTACAAAAAATCTTCTAAGTTGATTTAATCGATTGTTTCGCGATTCAATCGATTGAAATACTTGCAAAACTTTCTCGTAAAACTTTTTAAGTTATTTTAACTTATAAAAATAAGTTTTAATCGATTAAAACGTTGTGCAGAAATTGTTTTAATCGATTGAAACGAGATTTAATCGATTAAAATAGTTCTGATCGGTCATAATCGCATTCTGATCGATCATAATTGAAACGATATAATAGCGGTTCTAGGTTAACCGTTATCTAAGTGAGCTTTTAAGAGCGGTTTCGTGTAACCGCTATCTAAAATGTATCTCGCTTGAGCGACACTCGTTCTCGCACGAGCGAAACGCCCCTGCACAAAATTTGCATTCTCGGGTTGTATTTCGCTTGAGCGAATCTAGTATCGCTCGAGCGATATTTGATTCTGATCGATTAGATTTTCGAAATGATCGATCATATTTGATAATTTTTTCAAATAATTAATTATAATCGATTAGTTTTCTAAATTATTGATTAGAATTGATTAGTTTTTCAAATAATAGATTAGAATTGATTAATTTCTAAATATATACTAAAAAATTATAATTAAAAATATAAATTAGTTAAGAATATTGACTATTGTAAAGATAAAGTAGAACATGGGAGGAGATGAGGATGATAATATAATGATAGAACTTACAAAAATGTAGAATTGAGAAGTTTGAAACAAATAAAATTAAGAAAATAGATATTTAATTACACTTTTAATAAATTTAAGATAATACTAGTTTTGATTTTTATTTTTAAATATTTATTTTAATTATTTAAAACAGAGAAACTATAATTTTAGTTTCTAGCTACTGAATTTAAAGAATTAAATTTATTATTATTTAATCTTTTAATTTGTAGAATTAAACTCAATATAATTGTTAAAAATACTTTGTAGAGGCATTTGAGAAAGCTTTTGTCAAAATACTTTGTTTTTAATTGTTAAAAACATTTGTAGAGGCATTTTGCAAAATCTTTTAAGTGAAGAAACCTCATGCAACAGAAATCTTTTAATTTTAGTATTAAAAATTTAAATTATATTTTATTAAATTAAACTAGTTACAATATATTTTTTTACTTTGAGAATGAACAATATAATTAAACTCAAAATTGACAATATTATAATACATTTTTGAACTCTTTTGGATTAATTTTTTTTCCTAATTTTTGATAAAGTTAATTTTAATATTTAAAAGTATTTAACATTTTGAATTCCGAAAGGTTTTCTCTAATAGCAAATTTAAAAACATAATATTCAAAAAAATAGTTAATGTAAGTTTTCATTATGATTGATGAAAAGAAGAACATAATTGAGAAGATATGATAGCGGTTCCACGTTAACCGCTATCTAAAGTATAATTTAGATAGCGGTTAATGGTTAACTGCTATTAGAAGTGCACTTTTAAGAGCGGT